ATCCATAACTGACAGTCTTGCCCAGTCCATGCTGGTGTCAGATGTGAGTCCTAAAAATTGGGTTATTTGCTTTGTTTTTAATGGTGAGGTTTGAGTCACAAAAATATGTTGAGTGTCTAGTACATTGAAATGAAATGCTTCCATCTCATGGGAATAAGTAATCTACCTGCTGTTTATGCGAGACAGAAATTAATTGCTCTGTGTACATGTTATGCATGTGATAGTATTTAACTGCATGGCAGTACATGTTAGTATTTTAGTAAATTCCATAACTATACATTAAATATGCAGTTGGTTTCAATTAGTCCTAATACATACATTTGTGTTACAGATATCCCCAGACACCCTGGTGACATTGGACATCTCCCAACTTTGTGAACATTTCAAATAAAATAAAAATCTTCATATAAAAATGGTTAGTTTTGTATTATTATTTTGGTCTTTAATATAGGGCAGACAGACAAGTTCCCTACTTTCTCCCCTTTTCACTTGCCTCCTCCATTTATGCTGCAATCAGTTGGTTATAACTTTGGATAGAGCAAACATTCCCATATATTTTTGATAGCTGCATGCATTACAAAACTTCACCATTCCTATTCATAATATTGTTAATAAAGATTATAAAAGTTTTAAACATAATCTGCCCATTCTTTGTTTTTGGTGTTATGTAAGAATTTGTATTGCTCATACCAACTGAGCCATATGTTTAAAACTGTCACTCCTTACATCCATTGTCCAGATAGACTGAAATGTACTGTAAATGTTGATATAATACTCTGGCAGAATAAATTCTGGAAGCAGTAGGCATAGCACACATGCATACTACCTTTACTCTGGTCACTGTCCTTATTGTCATTACTTAAACGGCTGTGAAAACAATGAAAATGTCACAATATATTTAGGGATGCAAAAACCAGATACGAATAATGTGTTCATCTATAGAGATGGATGTAGCATCTTCCTTTCCCAATCCATTGGCAAATGACTTTAAACTGCATGTTTCTCACATGATGATTTATGAGGTTAACTTATTTATGGACTGTAGATGATGATCTACAATATCTCACATCTCACCAGATAAGGCAAAGGGTGTGGTGGAGTGTTCTTCATTGTGATGGCTTCAGGGTTCCAATGCCTCCAAGTAGCCTTGCATGAGCCTTGGCTTATGCGAGCCGGAACAGCTCATAACAGCAGGAAAAATTATAGGTCTTCTTTTAGGTCACTTAATAGTAAAGGCAGATCATTCAGTCAACTTTTCTTCTGGTCCTAGACTATGGCGACATCTACAGTTGAAGTCAGAAGTTTACATACACCTTAGCCAAATACATTTAAACTCAGTTTTTCACAATTCCTGACATTTAGTCCTAGTAAAAATTCCCTGTCTTAGGTCAGTTAGGATCACCACTTTATTTTAAGAATGTGACATGTCAGAATAATAGTAGAGAGAATTATTTATTTCAGCTTTTATTTCTTTCATCACATTCCCAGTGGCCAGACATTTACATACACTCAATTAGTATATGGTAGCATTGCCTTTACATTGTTTAACTTTGGTCAAACATTTCGGGTAGCCTTCCACAAGCTTCCCACAATAAGTTGGGTGAATTTTGGCCCATTCCTCCTGACAGAGCTGGTGTAACTGAGTCAGGTTTGTAGGCCTCCTTGCTCGCACACGCTTTTTCAGTTCTGCCCACACATTTTCTATAGAATTGAGGTCAGGGCTTTGTGATGGCCACTCCAATACCTTGACTTTGTTGTCCTTAAGCCATTTTGCCACAACTTTGGAAGTATGCTTGGGGTCATTGTCCATTTGGAAGACCCATTTGCGACCAAGCTTTAACTTCCTGACTGATGTCTTGAGATGTTGCTTCAATATATCCACATAATTTTCCTTCCTCATGATGCCATCTATTTTGTGAAGTGCACCATACCGTCCTGCAGCAAAACACCCCCACAGCATGATGCTGCCACCCCCGTGCTTCACGGTTGGGATGGTGTTCTTCGGCTTGCAAGCCTACCCCTTTTTCCTCCAAACATAACGATGGTCATTATGGCCAAACAGTTCTATTTTTGTTTCATCAGACCAGAGGACATTTCTCCAAAAAGTATAATCTTTGTCTCCATGTGCAGTTGCAAACCGTAGTCTGGCTTTTCTATGGCGGTTTTGGAGCAGTGGCTTCTTCCTTGCTGAGCGGCCTTTCAGGTTATGTCGATATAGGACTTGTTTTACTGTGGATATAGATACTTTTGTACCTGTTTCCTCCAGCATCTTCACAAGGTCCTTTGCTGTTGTTCTATGATTGATTTGCACTTTTCGCACCAAAGTACATTCATCTCTAGGAGACAGAACGCGTCTCCTTCCTGAGCGGTATGACGGCTGCGTGGTCCCATGGTGTTCATACTTGCATACTATTGTTTGTACAGATGAACATGGTACCTTCAGGCATTTGGAAATTGCTCTCAAGGATGAACCAGACTTGTGGAAGACTACACACAAATCTTTTTCTGATGTCTTGGCTGATTTCTTTTGATTTTCCCATGATGTCAAGCAAAGAGGCACTGAAGGTAGGCCTTGAAAAACATCCACGGGTACACCTCCAATTGACTCAAATTATGTCAATTAGCCTATCAGAAGCTTCTAAAGCCATGACATCATTTTCTGGAATTTTCCAAGCTGTTTAAAGGCACAGTCAACTCAGTGTATGTAAACTTCTGACCCACTGGAATTGTGATACAGTGAATGATAAGTGAAATAATCTGTCTGTAAACAATTGTTGGAAAAATGACTTGTGTCATGCATAAAGTAGATGTCCTAACCGACTTGCCAAAACTATAGTTTGTTAACAAGAAATGTGTGGAGTGGTTGAAAAACGAGTTTTAATGACTCCAACCTAAGTGTATGTAAACTTCCGACTTCAACTGTATTTTCACCAGGTCATGCTTTTTAGCCATGGCCAAATCATTGAAACCAAGCCCAAACTCTTAACCAAAAGGAGCCTGCCGTTTGCTTTCGAATGGCACTGGAGGCGGAGAGATGGCCATAAGTGCTCACTCTACCACAGTAGACGAATGAGGGTATTTGATGACTTTGGTAAGTAATAAAGCATTTGTTTGTAATATCATAATAGTTTTGGAAATGAGAAAGTGGTGGGTGTGGTTTTGCACCTGAAGTCAAAGTCTGCTTTTCTTAGAGGCATCAACATTAATCCATCATAACAGTTTTCTTAAATTATAAAGGCATGTAGATTAAGATTAAAATCACATTATTGGTCAATTGCACATTAGCAACCCCTCTGAAAGACACACATACATACACGATTTTTGGAGAGGTGCTTGGGGCTGCCACACTGGGTGCCCGGGTAGCTGTTGTTGTGGGAGGGTTAAGTGCCTTGTTCAAGGGCACAATGGCAGGCAATGGCATCTAGGATTTTTGATACCAGCAACCTTCTGGTTGCCAGCTCACTTCCCGACAGATTTTTTTATCCAGTTTCTGGCTTGCCTCTCTAACTGCTAGGCTACCTGCCGCACATACATTGATTTTGTTAGTCACTCTCACTCAGATATCATATTAAAAACTGCAAATATTTCTCTCCACCCTGTGGCAAAATGTTTAGAATTGCAGGAATTTAGCTGTTAAACTGCAACATCATGATGAGTTCAGATTTTTTTGTGGCCCCTACCCCCAGCAAAGTTTCCCATCCCTGTACCACGGTAATATGTAATATGTAACCTAGGGTAGAAGTAGCTGATCTGGAATCTGTTTTGCGTCTTCTCAAGAAAAACCTGTTCGTACTGGTTGTCCGCAAGAAACCGCCCCTTTTTTACAGTAAAAGAAACGCCTGAAACTAAATCTCCTACATCAGGGATCATCAACTACATTCAGCCGCGGGCCAATTTTTTATTGAGCGGATGGTCAGGTGGCCGTAACATAATAACAAATTATTTGTAGACTGCAAATTGACCGCAAGAAGCCAACATTTGTTTACGGCAAATAAATCTCTCTATTATGCGTGGGAATACTTTGGAACAGATTTCCTAAATTAAGATCACTTGGAGCTCATTTGCTGGTGTTTTTACAGTCTTTTATGTCGAACAATAAACTTGGGGTGGGGAGCGGGGCACAAATAAAATCACCCCTGTGCGAAATTCGTCCCGCAGGTCGCCAGTTGGGGAACCCTGTCCTAGATATTGGTCTTGACGAGAAGAAAAATAACTTTTGGGGGAGGTACTCTTCTTCACTGTTCAACCAATCCAGTAAATGTGGAGGAGGATTTAAGATGGAGCGTTGCCTTGGCTGTGTTCGAGAGAATCAAAACAATTGCAGGCGACTGCCGACTGACTGATATACAAATCACCTTGCATCATAAATAAAAACTCATTATTATTTGTAGATCAGTTAGTCAGTCACAATTTACCCATGATACATTGCGGTTTTGATCCTCTCGTAGACCGTCAATGTTAACGTCCAAAACCGGAAGTCGCGTCACAGGCTTTCTTTCCATTTCCCCTGAAAACTGGAACATATGGTTGTTGGGGACTCTGCAGAGGCTACAGTCACAGATAGAGCAATGAGAGAGATGTTTCATTTTATGTACAATGCTGAAGCATCCGGTTGGCGTTTCCACTCACCACCAAATATGGTGATAAGAGGACCCCCCCCCCCCCCCCCCCCCCCCCCGGCAGTGGGAGATGATGGAGCGAGATTGATTCTGGCCGATATTCTGCTAATTTTCTCATCGATGAAACATTTGATCTCAATACAGTTTTCTTCAATACAGTTTTCTGTTTCCAAAACTAGAATATTTTACGAACAGAGTTGACAACGTTTTGTAGACTTTACCCTTTGCCAAAGAAAAAGAAAAAACGGAAATATGCAAATACATGCTAAAACGCGCCAATAGGATCTCGCTAGCTCGTGCTTGTCTCTGCCCACCTCCTAGATTGTTCTGCCCACTATGATTCATTTGCTCCCGATGGAAACGACAGGCTGTGGTCTATCTTGTGTTTGTTATAAAAAAATCTTTGCTACAGTCGTGTTGAATAAAATGGGAATCTCATTTGTTGTCTCCGCAAAGAGGGCGTTTCGGGAATGAAGTAATCTCGCGTAGGGTATGGAATATAGAGAATTGATACTGTACTGTTTGTGTAGTCAATATTTTTCATAAGTAGATAGCCTATTGAAAATGTCAGCATAGCCATTTGATGGTCTCTATTCGAAAAACCGAGTCGATGCAAAGACTTGTTAGGCGGTTCGTTGTCGGGGGGAAATGACAGAGGGGGACTAAAACAGGGAGGAATGGCAGCTAACCTTGCTAATGGGAGTGTACTGTACGGGTAGACATTTAACAATGTAAGTGTATCAAACAATTAAATCAGTAGATGGCTACATTGTAGCCAAGTTGTTTGAGCGCGTGTAGTGCACGGTTATAATGGTTACATTGTATCAGCATCCAGAGTGTAGATTTGCTGCAACGTCGCTGCAAGGCAAGCGTTTCCCTTTTTTGTGTGGCTATCCGTGGTGGACAATGATGGTGGCTGGGACTCCGGTCACACACTGTTACTGCTACACTGCTCGAGTAGGCTACAATGTTGCACTGCTGAGCTGAATCAAACCGAACCAAGGAGTTCATATTACCTTTGGATTAAGACGCGGGCAAATCCTGTGTTCATAAGGGTTGGTATGCCACGTCATTTTTATTATATGTACACGTCAAAATACAGTGGCCTACTACCAGAATATATGTTATCCAGACTAAATAATATTGAAGCCCTTTTGACAATTATGTGATAGGGATGATGTCTTTTGCATGTACTATATGTCTAAAATTCAGGCCTGGTGTTGTGTTATGTGTTGCAGTACTAATCAGTGAGGTCTGCTGCAATTATGGATGATCATCATCACCATCATCTTCAACTTCATCATCACACACAAGGAAGCATGTCACCATCATATGTGCCAAGGAAGAGGAAGGCTTCACAGCCAAAACAAAAAAGTGGTGTTCCATTACCAGGTAAATGTCACTATCACTAGATGTTTGACAAATTGTCAGTTTACTGAGCAAACTTTAGAGTTGAATGCTAAATGACATTCTGTCCAAATCTGTCACTGGCCAGTTGCAATTGCAAATGTCTTTAATCTTGATAATTATTGCCTGTGTAGTCTCCATTTATGCATTTAATGCATATTGTCTCGGAAACTCTCTTTTAATAGTGGTTTGTAGGAACTAATGAAAATGTGCCCATAATCCAACAGCTATCCAGAGGATGCCAGATATGAGTGTGATGAGCATGATTGGTGCTCCACCTAAGGTAAGAATAAATACCCTAGTCAAAAAATCCTATCGGATCAGTGATTTTTCCAATAGAATCCTATAGGATTCTCACAATTCTATAGGATTTTGTGTCACCTCTATCAGAATCTTATTGGACTATTTTTTTCCTATTGGAAATCAAAAGTAATCCTAATGGATTCTATAGGATTCTCGCAATCCTATATGATTTTGTCACCTCTTTCAGAATCCTATTGGCTACTTTTTCCCTTTTGGAAAACAAAATTAATCCTATTGGATCCTATAGCTTTTTGATCAATTTTGTAGGGTTTTGTCAACCCAATCAGAAGCCTATTATTTAAAAAAAATCTTAATTGAACCCATTAAATCTTGTAATTTGTTACAGTAACATACAACAATATTAAGTACAACATTTTCGTTGATCGGAAACAACAGTTCTATATTCATTTTGGTTTTATTCACCACCACAATATGGGAGTGATTCAAGGCAGGAGGTTAATTTGCAGTATGACCACCTTTTTCAACAAAGAACTCACTTGAGTTATTTGATTTGATTCTTATTCATGCAATTTCCTGTCTTTGAATTAGACATTTCAATATGACATACAATTTTACAATAACACAAGATTTTGGGGAGTTTTCCCCTTAGAATGCACAGCATCTTTACATTGCTTATATGCAAATAAAAAGTAGAAGGAAAATACAATTTTAGGTACAGTAACATTTACATTTTAGTCATTTAGCAGACGCTCTTATCCAGAGCGACTTACAGTAGTGAGTGCATACATTTTCATACTAGTACCTCGTGGGAATCGAACCCAGTATCCTGGCATTGCAAGCGCCATGCTCTACCAACTGAGCTATATGGGGCACAAAGATATGAGTATTTTTATTTATTTAATATATAATAGTTAGCTATGCATACAAAACAGAGAATGTTCCCTTTACCCTCTTTATGTTAGGATAGGGAGAGGAAAAGAAAAACAAAGATAATGAGGGACCCCCCAACTCCTTCGCTCCCAAGGTTGTACCACCCCCTCTCCCTCCCTACCTGCCTCCCTACCCTTCGTCCCCCCCTCCCTTCCTCCCAGGGTTGTACCCCCTCCCCCGAGAGCTGTCCCCCCCACCCCCCTTCCATCCCTAGAAGGTGCTCCCTCTCCATCTTTCCTATCTCCCTCCTGGATGTAACTACCAGTTCCCATCTATTGACCTCTTGGCACACCTGATCCAGGTATTATAAAAAAGAAAAGAAAAAAATTGATGACCTGTGTCACATTAACATTACATCAACTTGTTAATCTAGCTCTATGCGGTTTGCCTGTAATGCCACATATCACACCTTTTTGACACAAATGTAAACAACCTTACGGACAATGTCAGTAGGTTTCACAGCTATTGTTGTTGCAGCTGGCACAATAATTTTAATGTGTGACGCAGATGCACCAGATGCAAATGTTTACTCACGTTGTGTCCCTTGGACCTTGTGGGGATGGGGCTGCACGAGATAGCTACTGGGTAGAGGGGACATTGCCGGCGGTTCCCCACTATAGGGTAGGGCTGGGAATTGCCAGGGACCTCACAATATGATATTATCACGATACTTACAGTAGGTGCCGATGCGATATATATTGCGATACTCACGATTCCATATGTACAGTATAATGATTCAATACTGTGATTTTTATTGCCATTCCATGGTCCAAATATATTGCTCACCATATGACTGCTGCAGATGGACTAGAGAACCATGAGAAAACTAGGTTTGATAAGTCATGGAAATAAAAGTGCTGAAAACAAATAGGCTCCCTATTTAAAAAGGAGATGGAGAACAAGCTATGAATGAGCTGGAGGGTGGGTGCTCCATATGTTATGCAGCCAGTGTAAATCAAATCAAATATAGTTTTGAGGATAAATTCTTTAGAATATAATGTAAATATCAATACAATTCCTTCTACAAAATGTATAGAAATCCTATAGGAGACAAAAATATTTAAATCCTATAGGATTCCAAAGCAAGGATCCAATTAGAATCTAATAGAAAAATTAAATCAGATATTGGAACCAGTTCTATTGGACTCCGACTATGTTCTTAACCACTCTCTACCCCTCTCTATATCTGTCTCCCTATCTGTACTTGCATCTGTCCTGTAAAACATTTTAATAATTTATAACATTTTACCCTATAGTATTCCAATAAAAAAATCATATCAGAATCCAAAAGAAAATCCAATCAGATTTTGGAACCAGGCCTATTGAAATTCTATAGGATTCGTTCCAAAATATTTTCTATTCGATTCTAATAGGATTTATTTATTGGAATCCTATAGGATTTTTTGACTAGGGTAATACAGTATTATGTTTCAGTTCTGCTTGGCCATTATGGGTGTTCTGGCCAAAGCATGGGTGCACTAGTCCAGTCCTTAATATGAAAACTGAAATAACAACCATCATATGATGATCTACAAATTATTTAGCATTAAGCACTTCTACATCAGTGTACAGTATGATGGTCCTTATTGCAGTTTTCACAATACAACCATGTAAGATCCTGTGAGGACACTGGATATCTGCTTTACAGTTCTGTACTTGAATATTATAGAATGATGACCCCCATGCCCAGGTGACTCAAAAGATGAAAAGAACATATGGTAGAAAAAGGTAAATGGGCCTACTGTGAGTTTCCTTTATTTTAATTGTCCATTTCTATAAATGTTCCCGCCCATCAGTGTAATGAAATCAACTCCTACCTGTCCAATCCTCTAGGTATGAGGATCTGCAGAATGTCTCCCTGGGCTCTGGTGTGGAGGATTCAACCAGCGAGACGTCCTGTTGCTCCGTGGTTTCTTCCAGCCTGGCTGTAGCCAACGGGGAGCTGCCTCCCCCTCCCCCTCCCTCTGCCAGACTGCCTCACAGGCTGGTGGCTAAAGACTGTTGGCCCAACCAGGCCCCAGACACAGGCAGGGCCCAGGGCCGGGGTCAGGAACCACCTCCACCCTCCGATTTCGCCATGAAGAAAATGCGGAGAGTGGAGGTGGACAATGGCACACCTTCTGTTACAAATTTCCCTCCGGAAGTGAGACAGACAGGTAGTTACTGTATCTTGCAACCATCAATCTCTTATTTTATTACCCTTACTCTTACATACAGGTATTCAAGTTTTAGTTCATGTTGAATGTTTCCTTTGATGCAGTTCCTGTTGGAGGTGGACATGTCCATAGCCATGTCCAAAGTGGTCACTCAGTCGGAGGTGGACATGTCCATAGCTATGTCCAAAGTGGTCACTCGGTTGGAGGTGGACATGCCCATAGCTATGTCCAAAGCGATCACTCGGTTGGAGGTGGACATGTCCAAAGCGGTCACTCGATTGGAGGTGGACATGTCCAGTGCAATCACTCAATTGGATGTGGACATCTCCAGAGCAGTTACCCTATTGGAGGTGGACTTGTCCAGAGCAGCTACTCTGTTGTAGGTGGACATGTCCATAGCAGTCACTCTATTGGAGGTGTAGCTATCCAGAGCAGTCACAGTCACCCAGCAGAGCCAACCGAGGAAGAGAAATCTAAAGTCTTTACCTTCACAACCAAGAAAGAACCTCCTGTCTACCCCCCAGGTGAGAGGACAAAGGAATTAAGCAAATAAAATGTCTCCATAAACACAATCTCTAGCAACACTAGTTGTTGATCATATACTTGTGTAATAACACTGTAATTACTCTAGTAACAATGTTGCATTAACATGATGTTACGTAATACTTTGATAATTGCATAGTAATGGAGTAGGGATTGTTCCATAACCCACATTTATATAAAATAAAATAAAAACTCTACTTCCTGTGTGTAACAGGAAGTCAAGAGGAGAGGTGGCAGCTGATGATCCTGGGGAAAGGGCGAGTCACGTGCCCCAAGTGTAAAAGTGTGAGCAGGAAGACTGTGGAGGGACTGAAGAAACATATGGAGAACTGCCGAGTGGTGTGTGTCTGCACCATACTCACAATAACAGCCTCCCATGTTGCGCTCACATTGGTTCAACTGAATTTCAAAAACTAAACGAATATGTTCTTTGTAGAATCCCTTCACATGTCAGCAATGCGGGAAACAACTGAAATCTTCCACGGGAATGAAGTACCACATCATGGCAGACCACAATAACCTGGTAAGGCCATTCTCCCATCTGACTCTGGTTTTGGTGTGCTTCATGTTGACGTTGGTTTTAACTCTCATATTTTGCCAGCCCTCGCCAGATGACATAAATGGCCTGGATGACCAGTCCATGAAGGAAAAACTGAGGAAGGTGCTGAAACGGATGGGGAAATTAAAATGCTCGAAAGAGGTATGATTCCTTGCTGGTGTCTGTATCTGAAATTCTAGTACAGATTTCACCTTAACCCATTGTTGGTTGGGTCCCTAGGCAGATGGGTTGCCTCCAACAATAACAATGTTCTAACAGGTCTGGGATTTCTGAGACTACATTGTTGGTGCATGGGAACTAAAGATGTGTTCCATTCTAAAAGACTGTGTGTTACTTTACAGGGCTGCACTGGTAGTTTCACCAGCATCATGGGTTACCTGTACCACATGAAGAAGTGTGGGAAGGAGGAGTCTGAGCTGGAGAAGCTGCTTCTCAACTGCCAACACTGTGGCAAGGTCTACAAGTCTAAGGCAGGCCTGGAGTACCACCTCAAGTCAGAGCACGCACCAGTGAGTTCTCCATTGCACTGCCTTTTACAGTATACACTTCTCCACTAATAAGGCAGTTGGTCTTTCAAGGTTACAATTCACTGGGAGACATTCCATCACACAACATGCCATTGTGCATACAATCTGTAGCAGTTACATCCTGGCAACTTCAATGTCACAAATATTTCTCAGTATATTCACCCTCATTCTCTCAAAACACCCCATTCCTTTGAGTCTCTTTTCAGTCTAATTTATTTGAGCTTTGCTTGAGAGGGAGATGATAGACAGCTGTCTCCTTCTCCCCCACAGGTGCCCCAGAATGCGGAGGAGGATGAGGTGAAGGCCCAGAGAGATCCCAACCCTGAGAGGACACCCAGCGGCCGGGTCAAACGCATGTCAGCCCAGGTGGCTGTTTTCCACCTACAAGAGATTGCTAATGACGAGCTGGCCAAGGAGTGGCCCAAGAGGAAGGTCATCGGGGACCTGGTCCCCGATGATAAGAAGGTGAAGGCACTTCAACACTAAGATGGTCCTAGATCTGTGCTCATGTATCTATTCCTGTAGATACATTGACCTCCAGATTAACCATTATTTTTCTCTTGGGTTCCACAGCTGAGATATGCCCGCCCAGGGCTGCCTGCCTTCAGTCAGGAGGTCCTTCGGAAGTGGAAAAATGAAGTGAAGCTGCAAAAGAAAGTGCAGTGCCCAAACCTGGTACGACCCATACGTTTCTAAATGATCTTTCATCCCATATTGCCTATAGTAGAGATTTTACTCGCTGTACTATACTTCGCTTATAATGTGACTGGGAAACTTTCTGGTTTCTCTCAGGGCTGTGGCTCGGTCTACACCAGTGTGTCTGGACTGAAGGCTCACCTTGGGCTCTGCGGAAGGGTAAGGAATAGTTCTCACACTGCTCCCCCTCTCTTTCACTTCCAAGTACTGCAACGTATCCAGAATACAGTGAAAATTATTCCACTGAAACTGAGTCAATTCTTACATTTTGTTTTAGCATTCAACTCTCATTTTAGCACAAATGTAAACCATTATTAAGCATCTAATTCAACTGAATGTTTTCTCTATCGATGCAGGGGGACTTTGAAGCAGGGAAATATAAATGCCTGATCTGTAAGAAAGAGTTCAACTCAGAGAGTGGGGTGAAGTACCACATCAACTCTGTCCACTCCCAGGTCAGAAATTAATTTAAGACTTTTTACCACCTTGATGACCTACTCTATCATATTAATTTAGAATGTTTTGCCATATGAATACAGTATTGCAAAAATACACATTGTAGTGCTTTTTGGTGGCACACAATACTAATGTCCTTCGTCCTGCGTTTTCTTAGGACTGGTTTGCGGTGACCTCAAAATCCAAGAACTTTGATAAGGTTCTGAAGACCAAGACCAAGCCCAAGAAGAACCGCACCGTGGATGAACCCACTGACCAGCACCAGACTCTCCATGTCTTCACCCCTGTCCTGGAGCCCTGGCAGGACATGCAGATGGGACCCCCACCAGCGGTGCCCGAGCCAGCCCTGCAGGCCAACCCTGAGGCAGCAGAGGGGAAGAGGAGGGGGAAGGGGAGAGGGAAGGAGAAGGACTGCTATGACTTCACTGGCAGTGACCACTCCAGCAGTAGCAGCAGCGGCAGCTCCAGCAGCGAATCAGAGACAGAGGAGCTTGAGGGCCAGAGACACGACGTCGACCAATGGGCACTGCAGAGACCCAGTATCATCGAGACCCACCCTGATGTCGCCAAGCAAGCCAGATGCAACCCCTAGTTTGTCCGATCACCTGACTTCAGATCAGGGGTCTGTTCAGGAGGGTGCAACGTTACAGAACATTCAGATAGAAATGCATTGGTCCTGGGATGTGTAGTCTGTGTGTTTCAACTGTAACTATGAGGTTGTCTTAGCCAACGTTTAATGTGTTTTATTATTTTAATACGTTTGATAAGTCTTGTTTTGTTTTCTGACATGCTTACTTAGACTCATCTTTTAACCCCTATTATGACAAGTGCTTATGTGTTGGCTTGTGCTCCTCGATTCAGACTGTGCCTAGTGTATGGATCTATTATTTCATACAACTCCTTAATTATACCTTACATGTTATCAGACCTCTTCTTTACAATGCATATTTAACCAATAGCATGTGGTGTTAATGTAGTGTGCATTTTATATATTGGATAGTGATATATGATGATATACAGGATGAATTTGAGATACAGTGGTTGTCGGTTATAGTTGTCAGTGATGTTTTTTAACGCTGCATTGTTTGTTGATGTACACAGTCCAGATGGAAATAGGTGCAGTTGTCATTTAATTTACTCCCTTTGTGCCCCTGTACTGTTTCTGCAGATGTATGAATGTGTTTGGTTTATTCTTCTGTTGATATTTCTGTGTCAGTGCACTTCTGTTCAAGCTAGGTTTTGAATAGATTCATATCTATTTTATTTAGTATTGAATAATGAACTGGCATTTGAACATTTAAGTGATCCCTAACAAATAATTATGTTAACAATAGCTTTTCCCTATTTTATGCCTTTTATAATTCTACTAAGACAAGTTAGACAACCAATGTCTTTCAGTTCAAAGGTTCTGGTCAGGTCCATGATTCCTGTGACCAAAACAAGAGGCATTGTGCATGCACTTTTATATTGAATGAAATTAAGTGCTCAGTCTAATGATAGGCATTCCCATAACCCAACCTTGTAAAGGGTGACAAGTGTGCTCTAATTTGTTATGTCTGCTTCTTGAGGTTAATTGTGTTCAGTCTTCACTGTTTTGAACCAAAAAATGAAAGGGATTACACTTCAATTCACCATTTGTGTACATTTGTATTAATGGAAAAACTATTGTTTCAAGTTTTAGAAAACAAAATGCATTATACCTTTTTTTTTTTAGAAGTACTGTAGGTCTAATGCGCTGCTATTTTTAACTACCAGGAGTGTTAGCTATATCAACAGGTGAAATAAAATATTAACATAATGCTACTAATTTTCATTGTGCCCTTCTTGCCTTACACAGTAAACAACTAATGCCTGCAGGTGTTGAATGAAAGAGGAGTGATGCACCAGCTCTGGTTGTATCCACTTCAGCACTTTGGGCCCCACCTGTGGCAGAAAGGTGTATCGCAGCCATGCACCAAGGCAATATTTAGTTTCGGACAGAAGGGGGCAGCAGTCTACCGGCCAATATCGTCTCTTTGGTCACAGCAAATATGGCGGTCTTCAGCTAGATCCACGCTATACAGACTACCGATTGAGAATATTACTGTTAAAGTACGTTATTGTTGCTGTTGGCGGCGATAAGGACATTGAAGGAGTTTTAACCGGTAACTATAGATTCTAAATTATGTGACTTTTCATCTGTATTCCATCGTAACTGACCCATATTGGCACGAGCATGGGGATTCGAACCGGGGGTTAGAGGATAGGCGCGAGTCAGGCCAACTGGGAAACGAGGTCTATAAACCATGAGCCACGGAATAGTATAGACTCTTGGAAGAAATGTTCGATGTCTTTTGTGTTGTACGCGTCTGCGCGATTAGCTAACTTTTACCACAGACCCTGTCCTAGTCAGTATTATGACAGACATCTCAAGAAAATATATGTAGCTAGCTACATAGCTAGCTATTCTTGTAGCATATTGACATTAGCTAGCTAGCTAACGCCGGACACTTCCTACATAAACTTGCTGTAGCAAGTGTGTACGTAGCAAATTTAGCTAGTTATGCCATAAACGTCCAGTTCGCTAACGTTAGTTTTGTCATTACCAACTATTTTTCCGTTTTTTGACGACTTTTAGTCGATTATCGATTTAAATCAATCAATCAGTCAATGCAAATCAGTCAGTGGCACATACTCCTACATGTGGGTTGGCTACATGTGCCCTCCAGTCATCTGCCAAAGATGAGTGATGTGATTAACTAGCCAATAACCAGCTTAGCTAACTAGCAAGCAAGAGTATCATGCAATATGCACTGCAGTCATTCTGTGAAATTTGCAAATAAACTATGGTATCCACTGTCCCATGTTTCAATTGGTGAAGTCTCTCTCTCTCTCTCTCTCTCTCTCTCTCTCTCTCAGGTATGCTGTAGGACGTATGCCTGTGACAGAGAGTTGCACAGTTAGGCTGTTAAGGCTGCCTCTCACCAAGAAGAGATGCTCAGTAAAGTTGTCTAGGCTTTCTGTGATAAAGAAGAGGTGCTCAGTAAGGCTGTCAAGGCTTCTTTTGACTGATAAGTGGTGCTCAGTAAGGTTGTGTAGGCTACCTGTGACAAAGAAGAGTTGCTCAGTAAAGTTATCTAGTCTGCCTGTGACGCAGAAGCGTTGCTCAGTAAGGTTGTCTAGGCTGTTGATGGCAACCATTGCCCAGAAGTTGGGCAAACAGGGTAGCGAGTCCATGGGCGTACCCCATGGAGAGGAGACAGAGGAGCAGACTGATCCACACGAAAAGCCTCGGGCAGAGGCGCAGACCAATCCACATGAAAAACCTCAGGACACAAATGGGGAGGCTGTTGGTGCTACATCTGAACAAGGTAAGCAGCAGAGAGAGTGACACTGTTTAATAAAGTTAAGTGTTCCATGTGACTCCCTAAAAACACGCCACTTCAATACAGCTACGACCAGAAGTTACTTTTCGTAGCAGGTTAGGAGAGCCTTTTCGCTAACCCTTTAACTAACCTTAACCTAATTTTCCTAACCTGCAACGATAATTCTCCTAACCTACAACGAAAAAAGTCACTTCATAGCTGGATCGAAGTGGCATGTTTTTAGGGAATTTTGCATTCCATACTGCATGTAGTGGAGGACAGACCCCACCACGTTCCTATGTTTCCTCAGGCCAGGAGCTGCCTCCAGAAGAGCTTCCTGTAACATCCTCCACCCCGGGAAATCGTCTGCAGAGAAAAAGAGTCCCTAATCCGAAATATCAGAGCGAACCAGACACCGACATGACCAACACAGACCGTGAGTGCCTGGTTATTAATATTGTGTACTAGTAGTAGCCTAATATATGCCTAGATGATAGCGCAAACCAACTTGCCTCTTTTGTTGCTCTGATGTATATTTTGGTCTATTTTTTCCTCATAGTACAATGTCCTGACTCAACAGAAAAGCCAAGGAAAAAGAGGGGCCTGAAAAAATCTGTCTCCAACACAGAAACTGACCAGCAGGAGCCTGCCAAAAAGACCCCAAAACCGAAAACCCCCAAAAAGACACCTGCCAAAAAGACACCACAGAAAAAGGCAGCGGTCTCGAGCATAAACAGTGAAAAGGGGCTTATCAAACAGACCCCTGCCAAGAAGACCTCTGCCAAGAAAATACAACAGGAAACACCACAGGTCAACTCCACGCCCCCCCCTGCAGTCCCGGAACTGAGGGAGACCCCAGAGGAGCCTGAAACCACCCCTGGTGGCAGACCCAAGCGGAGGGCAGCAAAAGCGTATGTGACATCATCTAGTCCCCCATCATTTTGATTCTGTTACAGCAAGTAAGCAGTCTCTGATGGTAAAGAAGAGATGCTCCTATACAGTATGCCTATTAGTGGAGATTTCAGTGAATGAGTAGTAGTATTCTTCTTGTTTGGCCAGTGTTTTATACAGCTACCTTTGGCTCCCAATGCTTTTTCAATATCTCATTCACTTTGGATGGACTCTATTATAAAACAATCATAAATGGCCACCAAATCAAACTTTATCTCTTCACATCAAAAGCAATTTCATTCAGAGTTTGGAAAAAGTAATGCTCAATTGACCCATTGTTGTATGTTTCTGTTCTATCTCAGTGCATTGCAGTACCTCCATACCCTGGCCAAGGAGGTATACAACCAATCTGACAATGCTACTAAGAACGACTGGGAGTCTAGCCCAGTCCCCAGCCCCAGCTCAACCCAGCCCCAGAAACGGACCAGAGGCAAGGGCAAGAAGAGGAAGGCCCCTGATTTTGACAGTGACAACGCCGCAGAGGATATGGACTTTGTTCCAGAAAATAAAGACACTGAGGAGGAACGTGAGGATGAAGATACTCAAGAAGACCTAGACTTAGACTTGGAGCAGAGGCACACACCAACGAAAGACCTTAGATCCAGACGCATTTCCAGAGGTCTTGTGAGTACCATTTTTTTTAACAGAAGATTGTGATAAATAGACTAGCAGACAAACCAAGAGATATTGGGAGGTATTTTTCCCACTAGACGACCACAGTCTGAGACCAATGACAAACTAAATGAAGACTTTTGTGTTACCGTTGTCATGTTTTATTTTTTGTCACTCAGTCAAGTCAAGCTCGATATCATGGTAACGCCCCCAATGGACTGACCAACATCGTGATGGGACCCATCTGGATGTGCACCAAAACCACCAAGACCTTGTAAGTGGCTCGCCTGTCTTCTATGGGGCAGGTAGCTTAGTGGTTAAGAGCGTTGTGCCAGTAACCAAAAGGTCGCTGGTTCTAATCCCCGAGCCAACTAGGTGAAAAATCTGTTGATGTGCCCTTGAGCAAGGCACTTAACTCTAATTGCTCCTATAAGTAGCTCTGGATAAGAGCGTCTGCTAAATGAGTAAATGTATGTAGCAATAAAAAAATGAGGTTTTATTGCTTACTGCCAGTAGGGGGTGCTCAATGCATTTACATTATTCACTCCTGGGTCTTTTGTCCTGGCTCTTTCTGTGGGTTTGACTGACTGTCTTTTGCAGCCGTGATGAACACTGTAACGAATGGGTCTTTGCTGAGTGGATACCTTCAGAGAAGGATTGGCATTGCTTGTCGGACAGGTAGAAATATCATTACACATTTGATTATTACATTATACTTGATCTCCCAGAAAAAATACTACATATATCTCACAAATCAAGTAACCCAAGAATACATCAAATGTTTGGTATGCATTTCCCCTCCCAGTGAGGCTGAGCAGTATCTACCGCAGGAGATGATGTCTACAGCCTTCACCTTCTCCAGAGAGGGCATCAGAGAGGAGACTCCTCTGCACAGAATGAAGAGGTAGGTCCTTTGTAGCTCAATTTGTAATTGTGGTGCTAGCAACACCAAGGTCTTGGTCAAGTCCTTGATATATATATATATAATTTTTTTTAAAAGTATCTTACTGTTGTTTGCTGTCCAGGTTTGAGTGCCTGCCACCTCATCCTGAGCGCTGGGACATGCTATTCTATACGGGCGGCCCGGTGTGGGCCATGGACTGGTGCCCCACCCCCGATGGCGCCCCTGCCAGCCAGTGCGCTGCCATCTACTGCCACAGGAACCTGGATGACCAGCACAGGATGAATGAGTTGTACACCAAACCTGGACTCATCCAGATCTGGGATATGGGACAACTCCAGTACAACACCAGGTAGGGACCATGGCAATGGCCAGTTAATGGGGATCAGTATCGTTTTTTTTCTTAAATAACTATATATTTTTCTATCTACCGCTACAATCTTCTTGATCTTTCTACCTTTCTCTGGGCCATCTCTCTGCTCCATCTCTCCCCAGTCCCCAGTCCTCTCCACGGCTGGCCTATGGTATTGCCCAGGATAAAGGCTTTGTGTGGAACCTGAAGTGGTGTCCAGGAGGAGCCTGGGAGCTGCCCACCACTAACAGGAAGGTAGGAACAGAAGCACACAGAGATACACAGGGACCTGACATGTTAAATCTACATCAGTAATGTCTGTTACTGCATAATGGCTAAACATGACTGTAAAAGAGAACTGTATAAAACACTAAAAAATAGAATGTATGACTCTCTTTGTCCCTCTCTTTCCTTCTGTCCTCCCCCTCTCTCTGGCAGGCCCCTCACATGCCCAGAATGGGTCTCCTGGCTGCCTCCACATCAGATGGTCACATCACCATCTACAGCCTGCCTCACCCCGACACACTACTAGCCCGCAGGAAACACACCGCTAAAGGTTAGCATGCTCATTTAAAGTGGAACTGACAGCGTTTTAACTACTTTGCAGATATGAAACAAACAGACAATCATGATATCAGTAAAAATATCAAATTCCCAGTTTATGCTACAAAACCAACTTTATTAGGTTTTAAAAATAGGTTATATTTGACTAAAAATTCCATGATGTAGATAGAGTAAGGTATTGCTGGCAGTTTAATGCATGATTAATATAATTCACCAATACATTTATTGTCAGTCCAACAAATATTGCTATCAGGTTGTAAATCACAGCTGGCCCGGTAAATTGTTTACTTCCTCCAGCCATTCGGGATGCACTGTTTCAGTTTCAATGACTCAATATTTTGGACAAAAACTGACGAATGTAACCAGGGCTGGGAATGTCAATACAATCAAACTAGCAAGGACAATGATCACAAGTCGGTCATAACGTGGCCAATAGGCTAGCTTATCTATTTATGTAGCTATTTATTTAGCAAGCTAAAAACACGGTGCCTAACGTTAGCTAGCTAGCTAGCTGCTGGTAGGATGTTGTCATTGGACGAGTGGTTGAGTAGGCGACTTTTTCCCCCAATATCGTTTTTTGGTGGCTACAGCTAGAGATGCGGGTGTCATTTGGTTAGCTAGCAAGAAATGTGAATCACTTTGCTAGCTAGCTATACTGAACTTGTACGACTGTTATCCACAGTTAGCATATTTCTTAGTTGTCAATCAAATGTATTTGGCATTGATCAAATGGGCGGACAGGCTGGCAAGTTCCCATTCAGGTGTCAAAACGTGGGTTGGGACAAGCATGCATTGGCAGGCAAGCTGCAGAAGAGCGAGCAGGCTACTTACTATTCCCCATCGTTTATCAGTGCAATTTGTACGGCCAACTACAAGCTGAAAAGGTTTGAGAGGATTTATCTACTGTTCCCTCGTTAAATTTTTTACATCTCGCTCCGGCTAGCATTAGTTGTTGATCTTGTTGTGCATAGGCAACTGAGGAAGAGAGCCTACGTTTTCATGGTTGTTTGATCAATAGGACTGTAAAGTTCCCAAATGTAAGAGGACTCACGTGGTATTTACATATTTGCAGAAATCCATTCAGGTGTATTTTGGGCCTTTTGGCAAACGCTTTCTAATGATCTAAAGTCGCGCTGTTGCTACTGCCTGTAAACACAGTGGGCCCGTGTAAACAGCTGCATTTGTCTCTAGAATCGTTTACCAATATAAGTAACTGGAAGGGTCTGAAAACTCGCAAAATATTTTTGCCAACACTGTCGGTGTGGCAAATGGCTTATTTGCATAAAGGCCTACTGTAGCTCTGATTGGCTATGGTGCACGGGTCTGTGTAGACTCCGATCCTGGATAAGACACGTTTTTATTAGGTTTAATATACTGCAGTGTCTATTAATTGTCGAAAGGCATGTCTGCTTTCCCACTCTATATTGCTATAGAATTTTCTCCAACGTCTTTCCCAAACATTGTATGAATCTATGAAACGTGAAAATGACCATATCGAAGTGCTCGCTTGTCAAAAATATAAGAAAAGGCATATTCTTCCTGGGGGTGTATTTTAATAGAAGATTTAATGTTGCTAAAACGCGGTCAGTTCCACTTTAACACATGATAGAACCAAAGCAACTGACAATTAAGACATATATTAGTAATTTGTGATAGAATTTTGATCTGTGACAGATATATAGTCCCCTGTAGCTCAGTTGGTAGAGCATGGCGCTTGCAACGCCAGGGTTGTGGGTTCGTTTCCCACGGGGGCCAGTATGAAAAAGGTATGCACTCACTAACTGTAAGTCGCTCTGGATAAGAGCGTCTGCTAAAAATGTAAAAATATTATATCAGTAATATATCCCGGAATCAAACCTACTCTGGTGTTGTAGTTGTATGTGCTGTTCCAGAAGGGAGCAGTATTGTCATTCAACAGCCTGAACTTGGTCCTGCAGAAAAGCTGGAAGTCTTTTTAAAATCAGTTTTCATGCTGCTCATTGAAGTGGCAAATATTTTTCGCCAAGTCAGATAAATCCGTATTCGTATTGTCTTCGTTTTTTGATGTAAGGGCACATTTTTGTTTTGTTATTATTAAATCTGATGCCTTAGGCTATTTACCATAAAAATCTATTGACATCTTCAGTTACAGGTGTGCTCGTGTCAGTGCATATGTTGTAATTTTCCTCCTATGTCCCATACACATTTCTGCCTGCCTCTCCAAATCTCCCCTGGGATCACATGATCTTTGACCAAGGTAATAGTCACCTGCTGGGGCTTTCTCCCCCACTGCATTATTCTCCCATTGTTGTGCTGATGCATGGACTGTCCACACCACGAAAACTGCATCCTCACACATCTAACACAATGTGTCCGTGTGCGCACGTATGTTTGTGTGCGCATCCTTCTATTAATCTCTGCAGTAGAACGAGAGATGGAGGGAGGTGACAAAATGAAGGGAGGGGATGGTAGGGTGGATAGGGGCAGGCAGAGGGAGAGATAATTGCTTGCCTGGAGTCATCCTTCGATGATTCTAACCACAGTCTCTCATCCCAGTCTGTCTGTAAGAACTCTTTCACATTTACTGGAGAGTACAAATCTGTCTACAAGGTCATGCACTCCAACGTGCCATCGACATAGCGGTATCAAACTCTGCATTACAATGCGTTTATCACAGTGACTATAAATGAATGGACAAAACCATCGATCACGTGACACCATTCATTCCTACGCGAAGACGCGAAGACTCAATAGCGCATTGAAGCCAAATGAAGTCGGTTAAAGATGGCATCTCATGGAGACATAACATGGGCAGTTTGAACTACTCCAGGAAGTGACGTTGCAGGCTAGCTCAGTGCTGCCCCCCATTGAGTAACTTGAGTTGAAGGCCGACTGGGGTACTGCAGGCTGCCATTAGCAACTAAATTATCCTTGTAACTTATGTGTACGATTTTAAAATAATCGGTCCAAGGACATGCATCTGGTGTATTGGAAGCAATTACCACGATTGTCTTCTAAAAAATGTGTTATTTACACGAAGATTGACCACGAAAATTGCCATTTTCCGTTCACTATAATTGGGGACCGCACCATATTCCTGCTGTGTAAACTAGTGGATTTCGTTATAGGAAGTATCGGGTGAAGTGCGTGGTTCTAATGGCAGCCTGCTGTCTAATTTGGCAGGAATATGTTGCGGTTCAGACAAAAGTTTGATTCTGACGTTCCTAGAGGGTATTCATATGCGTTTATTGACAGGAAACGTTTTTTTTTTTTTTTGTGGTATGGTTATTTTCCGACGCCAACCACCAGAATGATGCACAACTCGGGGAGTCCAACCAATACAGACTCCCGATGTGTCCCAAAGCTAGGGGATACTTTTTTATGTATGTGTGTGTATATATATATATATATATATATATATATATAGCACCTTAGGGGTTTGTGGTATATGACGAATATACCACGGCTAAGGGCTGTATCCAGGCACTCCGCGTTTCGCATTAGAACTGCCCTTAGCAGTGGTATATTATGGCTTAATTATTATATATAGTAACCATATTATACCCCTAATCTATCTATATCTGTTATAACTGCCAAGTACTCACTGTTGCTACACACTACTAAGACATAACATCTACACTACTGGTCAAAAGTTTTAGAACACCTACTCATTCAAGGGTTTTTCTTTATTTTTACTATTGTCTCAAACGCATTAAGAAGGAAAGAAATTGACACACCTGTTAATTGAAATTTACATTTACATTTATGTCATTTAGCAGATGCTCTTATCCAGAGCGACTTACAAATTGGTGCATTCACCTTATAGCCAGTGGGATAACCACTTTAAAAACAATTTTTTTTGGGGGGTGGAGTAGAAGGATTACTTTATCCTATCCCAGGTATTCCTTAAAGAGGTGGGGTTTCAAATGTCTCCGGAAGGTGGTGAGTGACTCCGCTGTCCTGGCGTCGTAAGGGAGCTTGTTCCACCATTGGGGTGCCAGAGCAGCGAACAGTTTTGACAGGGCTGAGCGGGAACTGTGCTTCCGCAGAGGTAGGGGAGCCAGCAGGCCAGAGGTGGATGAACGCAATGCCCTCGTTTGGGTGTAGAGACTGAAGGTACGGAGGTGCCGTTCCCCTCACAGCTCCGTGGGCAAGCACCATGGTCTTGTAGCAGATGCGAGCTTCAACTGGAAGCCAGTGGAGTGTGCGGAGGAGCGGGGTGACGTGAGAGAACTTGGGAAGGTTGAACATCAGACAGGCTGCGGCATTCTGGATGAGTTGTAGGGGTTTAATGGCACAGGCAGGGAGCCCAGCCAACAGCGAGTTGCAGTAATCCAGACGGGAGATGACAAGTGCCTGGATTAGGACCTGTGCCGCTTCCTGTGTAAGGCAGGGTCGTACTCTCCGAATGTTGTAGAGCATGAACCTACAGGATCGGGTCACCGCCTTGATGTTAGCGGAGAACGACAGGGTGTTGTCCAGGGTCACGCCAAGGCTCTTCGCACTCTGGGAGGAGGACACAACGGAGTTGTCAACCGTGATGGCGAGATCATGGAACGGGCTGTCCTTCCCCGGGAGGAAGAGCAGCTCCATCTTGCCGAGGTTCAGCTTGAGGTGGTGATCCGACATCCACACTGATATGTCTGCCAGGTGACTACCTAATTTATTTTATTTAACTAGGCAAGTCAGTTAAGAACACATTTTTATTTACAATGACGGCCTACACCGGACAAACCGGGCCAATTGTGCGCTGCCCTATGGGACTCCCAATCACAGCCGGTTGTGATACAGCCTGGAATCGAACCGGGGGTCTGTAGTGACGCCTCAAGCACTGAGATGCAGTGCCTTAGACCGCTGCGCCACTCAGGAACTCGTGAAGGTGGTTGAGAGAATGCCAAGAGTGTGCAAAGCTGTCATCAAGGCAAATGGTGGCTACTTTGAAGAATCTCAAATATAAAATATATTTTGATTTTTTTAACACTTTTTTGGTTAATACATGATTCCATATGTGTTATTTCATAGTTTTGATGTCTTCACTATTATTCTACAATGTAGAAAATAGTAAAAAAATAAAGGAAAAACCCTTGAATGAGTAGGTGTGTCCAAACTTTTGACTGGTACTGTGTGTGTGTGTGTGTGTGTGTGTGTGTGTGTGTGTATATATATATATATATATACTGCTCAAAAAAATTAAGGGAACACTTAAACAACAC